TATATATATATATATATATATATACTTAAGTGTGAACTTAATGTAATGTTTTCAGACACTTAATTAGATCTTATTTAAAATTAAATGAAAATGTATTATATCGTGCATTTATTTGACTTATTTGTCATCTTATATGTTTATTTTGTCTTATGTTTTAATACATTTGTCTTATGTCATATGTTTTAAATGTACTTATGATACTTGACAAGCATTTATGGTAAAGTATATGATTAAATTCCAAATCAGACTTATTAAAATATTTAAATTTTACATTTTAAATGTAATTACGCATTATGGTTAAAATTACAATAAATAGTTTGCTCTTGCTTTAGTATGTTAGTCAACACATGAAAATTAGTGCACTTCTTAAAGTACACTTTTTTAAAATGTATCTCACATACAATTAAGTAGCCTTTTATTTAATTAAATGTATTTATTCATCCATTCTAAATAAATGTTTTATTCGTTTTGAAAAAAATATTTTTTCAAGATTTTAAGTGCATTACAAGTACACATTCAGTATAATTAAGTGTTGCCAATTGTAGTAACTGTCATTGTATGTAAAACAAACTGCATACATATAAGTTGAAAAGGTTTAAAAGAGAACAACATCATAAAAAGAAAAGAAAAACAGCTTATGCTAAAGTATCCCTTTATTTAATTAATATTAAAGGGGTCATATGATGTTGCTAAAAAGAACATTATTTTGTATATTTGGTGTAATTAAATGTGTTTATGTGGTTTAAGGTTAAAAAAACACATTATTTTCCACATACTGTACATTATTGTTTCTCCTCTATGCCCCGCCTTTCTGATACGTGTTTTACAAAGCTCATCAGTCTGAACAAGCGAGGTGTGCTGTAACCGGCATTGTAGTCTACTCTAGCAGGAAACAGTTCTCATCCTCCATTAAATGTGCTGCACACATCTGAATATTTGGGTTGAACTGTTCTGGAGCAGTGTTGTAAATACAACTTAACCACTGATTTACAAAATAAAATAAACAATAAAAACAGCTTTCTCTTTCAGAACACCATAATGAGCGAACAAACTGTTTAAATTGAGGTGGTTTTCACCTTTCAACCTTGTCCTCATGACAAATCAGTCAGTCACCATAAACCCTGATCTCCTCATCTCCTTATCCAAACATCGAGCCATAATACCCACTTTCATCAAACCATCATCACATCAGTCCAGCGCTATCAATAAGGCTACATTTTTGGCTCAGTTCATCAGATGGTGTTTATTTTGCTGCTTTAGTAAACATGCAGTGGCAGCGTGCAATCAGCCGCTCTCGATGCATGTGCACGCACAGCTCATCCTCTCGCGCGCGCAAACACAGCAACAGTCCCCCGAGAGACTGCAGCACCTCCCAAACGTACCCACTGGAACTTCACACTTCCCATTCTTCATTTCACTTTAGAAACAAACAGACCTATTGAGGTCTAGCAGCAGCCAGGCCTGTGTACGAATTATCACAGCTTTCGAGCAAGTCTGAAATGCATATATGCAAAAAAACATAAGCTAAGATGATTCAATACTGAGTGTAAATGCATATGCCAGATTCAAAATGCTATTCAGTGGCAGCAAGTTTTCCCTTCTTTGTTCTTAATGTATTACATCGAGGCTCGAAATCCAGTTTTTACAGCTTCCAGACAGTGAGTGGCTGGAGCAGCAGAGATAGATGGACTCATTAGTGAGTCAGGCAAGTATGAGGGGAAAAGTGCTGTTAATTATGATTAGGACATCATTATTCACATGTTAAGAGCTGAAGTGAAATATGTGTATATTAGTTCAACTCCAGTACATCAAGGTTAAATTTAGCTTATATTTAAGAGGACTTAGGTCTGTGTTGCTGCATGCCGCTGCTTTGTTTTTCAAAGGTGTGTTACTTACAATCACAATTAATTAAATAATAATGTTCAGTGCATGTCTAAAAATAGATTTTTATGGTTTTTAAAGGAAATGTGAGCGCTAATGCTCGTGTAAAAGTTGCTGTTTCAGTGCTAGTGTGTGTGGCTGGTTTACAGTGCATTGCTATATGATTTCTAAGTTGTTTTGAATTATTTTAGTATGCTCATATGCAGTTGCTAGGATGTTCAAGGTAGTACAGGTCAAAAAGCCCATAACAAGTGTCCAAATGTAGCTCAGGACACTTCAAAATATTATTCTATTGTAATAATAAATATTAATTTAACATCTATATAAGAATACAAATTGTTTTACATAATATTGATCATACACATATTTATTAAAATATAAAATAATTAATTATATTAAGTATTATTTAAATGTTTTTAATTACATTGTTGAAAAATAACTAAATATAAATTTTTATTTTTAATTATCATTTATTTTTATATAATTATATTCACACATTACATTTATTTATACTATACTAGAAAAAAAAATAATCAAAAGTAGAGTAATAAATAAAATAATAAAAGGTCAGTTGGACTGGAATACTATTTTGTATATGTTCATAATAATTATATTTATGTAATTAAGTAAAATAATAATACTAATTTGTTTGGAATATTGCATATAACATGTTTTACAAACACATATTTTTAATCAGAAATGTGATTTACTCTGACAATTAGCGCAGAGGAGACATGCTATTACATTTATTTATAGTATTTTCAGAATAATACATAAAAAATAGAGTTATACATTTATTTTATACTATTTATCTTAATAGATAGTATGTTTATACTATATTTTATACTATCTAAATACTTTAAAATAAATATATTATATAATAAAATATATTAATATTTTTAAAATCTTTTTTATATGTTAATAACAGATATTATGTAACATTTCTATACCTAAATAATTGTATGATATGCATTATTAACAAGTATATTATGCATAAACATATGTAATAGTAATTATTATATATATATATATATATATATATATATATATATATAAGTATCTTTATACTTTGAGTAAAGATATTATGCATGTATTTTTAAGTTATTTACCAAAGTCATGTTTACCACAGGTTTGTTTAAGGAATGTATTCCAAAGCAACAAGAAGCTCTCTAAAGACTCTTTCCTGAAAATACCACATCAAGGCAAGAACGTAATCATCACCAATCATTCGATTTGCAAGACCATGCCTGAAGTTTATGTGTGATGGTAACCAGAGTACATGGACTAGTGCTCAGTAGAAGTCAAATGTAGTTTTGCGCACAGGACATGGACAGTCCACAGAGCTTGTGCTGAAGTGGACCACTGGCAAGCACAGGAAATGGCAACCTACTTGCTAAGGTCAATATGCAAATGACAGATGCATGCACAAAGGTTTCAACACCATCAGCACCTTTTGAAAATCTTTTCAAAACTGCATCTTTACAACTTGAAACAGTGAGACCAAGAGAAAAATGGCTTTTTCTGTATTCAAATTGTGCATGCTTCATTATGGTTGCTTGTTGGTGAGTGTGAACACCATGGAAGTGAAGAAGGACTGACCCAAATACAGACCATGTTTGAATGTTATGCTCGGTGATCAATGTTATTGTCAGGCACACCTGTAGGTATTCTACCAAAGAAATTATATGATAGCAAAGTTCTCAATCTACAGATAATATAGAAGAAGAAACAACCTTTTAAATATATATGTGTGTGTGTGTGTTTTGTTTGTTTCAGTGTTGTCGTTCTTATAGAAATACAAACAAAAAAACCTACCTCGTATAATGTGTTCATGTGAGTGTTAATGTTCAGT